AATTGTGTTTGGATTGAAAATCAATATTTATTCAAATAGACGCTTGCGCGCTCTTGTCAAATTTTACATCAAATATTATGTGTATAGGTTCGTAAGGTACCACCGGTTCGGAAAGCAGTTTCTGTTGAGAAGAGACCGGCAAGAAACTCAACAGTTGCTCTTTTTCAAAAGTATCACTTTAAAATATAATAAACAGGTACAATAGTCTTATTCTAGCCTACGTGAGTATCAACAGTATCAACTCCACACATTGGCGTCGTCGAGATATTCCGAAATGGTATAGTATGCTTTAATCATTAGTTGATTTTTAATTTTACATTTAAATTGGTCAAGCGGCAGACTTAATATCGACTGTGGGATTTTATTATACATGCGCACACCCTGCCCCATGAAATACTTATTTACTTTTTGTAGACGAAACAATGGCGTGGTAAGTTTGTCCTTATTTCTAGTGTTTATTTTATGTCTGTCACTATTCTTTAGGTAATAATTAAGGTTATGACGTATATACAAAACATTACAATAAATGTATTGAGAAGCAACAGTGAGTATATTAACCTCTTTAAAAAGATCTCTGAGTGAATTCCGGGCTCCGATATTGTAGATTGCTCGGACAGCTCTTTTTGGAAGAATAAATATAGAATTTATATCTGATGCACTACCCCACAACAAAATGCCGTACGACAAGATGCTGTGAAAATAACTAAAGTAAACAAGTCTGGCAGTGTCGATGTCTGTTAGCTGCCTAACCCTTCTAATCGCAAAAACCGCGGAGCTCAGCCTATTCGCAAGAGATGATATATGGGGACTCCACTGGAGCTTTGAATCTACTGTAATTCCCAGAAATACAGCAGATTCAACTGGATTAATGGGTACGTTATTTAATATTAAACTAAAACTTTTCCTTCTTATACTGGGAAGGGTGAAAAGAATACATCTGTTTTTTTTGGCATTTAATACCATATTATTAATAGTGAACCAGTGGAGGATATGTGAAAGTGCACTATTCACGTCGTCATAATTTAATACGTTTCGGTCAACTTTAAAAATAAGCGATGTATCGTCAGCAAACAGTACAACATCACACCACCCACTGGCATAAAAGGGGAGATCATTAATATATACTAAAAATAATAATGGGCCCAAGATTGACCCTTGTGGGACTCCCATTTTCATCTGGGACCCGGTGGAATTAACATAATTTATAGATACTTTTTGAATTCTATTACTAAGGTAAGAGGCAATGAGATTGAGGGCGATGCCACGAATGCCATAATATTCTAGCTTTTGAAGGAGAGTTTTATGGTCTACGCAGTCGAACGCTTTTGAAAGGTCACAAAAGACACCTATTGCATCTGGTGACCTTTCCCAGGCGTTATAAATATGTTTGACAAGTGCGACGCCCGCATCTGTTGTCGATCTGCCTTTAGTGAATCCATATTGCTCATCATGAAAGATTTTGTTCACATTAAAATGAACTAAAAGTTGATTTAATATTAGCTTTTCAAAAACTTTACTAAGAGATGGCAATATGGAAATAGGTCTATAGTTGCCTGGATCATTTTTATCACCACTTTTGTAGACAGGTATTATCTTACTAAATTTCATAAGATCTGGAAATATTCCAGAATCTATGCAGTTGTTAAAAATAGAAGCCAAATTTGGTGCAATATATGGCATTATTGTGCTCATTAATTTTATGGACATACCCCATGAATTATCAATATGTTAACTTATTTTAATATTTTGCGTAAAACTATACAGCAGAAGCCGTCTTTTATCGGCCTTTTTCGAGGATTTCTACATAATGTAATAAGAATATTATTATTAATGTCCAAACCTGGTTGGGTTAGGTTCACAGGAGATTTCAGTATATTTACTAACAAAATTATTAATGCTAACCATTTGCAATCCTGCTGATTTAAACTGAGCACTAGTAAACTTTAAACCGCCGCTCTTAATTGAAGAACAACCCATTCGGAAGCCGAACGAGGCAAGACAAGAATAAGAAATTAAATTCGACGAAGCTAATAGTGCTTGTTCGCCGATTGTAATTACGTGGGGACGAGGGAATTGGTCTTCGTCGGATTACCATTTAGATTCTCTTTCCGTACCGCCGATGCTTGTGTGATTTACATTTGCCCGAAATTTATCTATTTTAAAGTTACATATGAAGACGGTTCGTTAAAACTTAAGTTTGGTTCTTTGTACGTCCAAAATTGTCTTAAATTGTGTAACTTAAATCTGGAAAATTTATCTGTTTCTTGTTGTGAAATTCAAAACAAACCAGACTAATGTTATTTATCTTCGATTTGCGAGACAGCCGATTCATAAAAAAAAAAATTATCACTATACTTTTAATATAAGAAACTTAAAAGCTATACCAATAAGCGAAATTAATTACACCTTTCCATTACTCAAAAATTTCAATAACATTACAAACTTATTCGACCAAATAGGTATGAAAGTTGACCTTTAATATCGATTCTACTTTTGAATTCAAAAAAGTTTGTAACAAGGACCTACGATGTGATTTAATTTAACCCGTATCATCTAAAGCTAATTAGAAATTCAGCACATATTTTATGAGCTTCAGCGGAACTAACTTAAACTGAACTAGATTTTAATTAAGACCTCACTTCAATTTGTTGTGACGATAAAACCTAGAGCAACAGTTTTGCAGGCGGGACCGAGTAAGACATCCTAGAGCGAATTACATTCGAGTCAAAATGTTTTCAATATGCAGAAGTTGCTCCACTGTCTCTACTGTCTGATACAATAACCACCACCATGACTACCGGTACCATTAATGAAGTTTTTATAAACGTCGTACATTAACTCCGTTTCGTTGTATACTTTATTAGTGATAAATGAATAAATATGTATATAAATCATATGTAGGAGGAAATAAGGTAAATTGAAATTTATTAATTGCTTTACAGATATTTTGTTATAAGTGTTTCGTAAAATTCGTTTCCAAATCCTTTTGTGTGGATCGGTTTTTATCGTAGTCGTATTTTATTATTTTTGGAATAATTTTAACCAAAACAACGTAAGAAACCAAATTAGGCTTATCTTATATGATCCATAAAAATAACGTAAATATTTACATTGGCGTCATCAACAAAATTCATTATGTTTTGTACGGCGAATACGTCATTCACAAACTTTATTATCGACTACTGCCGCTATAAAGATAAAGTTTATGTCCCGATATACTTTACTCACGATTGTGTTAGGCTGAATTGTTGTAGTGACTGTTTCAGAAAAGTTTGTATGCACAAAGCTATAAGTCGTAAATGAGTCGTGTATATATGAGAAGAAGCAGCATTATCTAGCAATGTTGTATAATAAATGTCCATTTACCTAGTGCACTAAATATATATTTCATTTTATATTAGGATATATTACATTTACGCTTTATATGTAATAACAAGAACAGCAAAAGCAAAAATAATCATTAGTTTTGAACTGCTTTCACTCTGCTGTTTCATTGTAATAAATTAAACAGAAAAAATAACACTTATAAAAATAATTTCCAGTCGTGGATAAACTAAGGAAACATCTTAATTAATCATAATTGAAAAGCATATTGCAAATAAAGACACTGACAGATTTAAAATAAACAAAATATATGTAAACCTATTGAGTTTTAAAAACTGTTTTTGTTTATATTATTAAAAGCAGTTAATAATTCATTGGCTTATACTTTTTGCGTTTGAGCTTTTTTTCTAATTAACGTACTTATATTGATTACAATATCCGATTTCTTTGTGTATTTTATTTTATACCTTCAGAGTTCTTATTTTCTCTACACCATGGTTTGATTTTCCCCCTCAGAATACCTTTTATATATTTTTATACAGCTGAGAATAACTGTAATGATTACCCTGCAACTCTCTCGCAAAAATAAGATTAAGTTTTGATTTAATAAAGCTATGATAAAGTTATGATATGGCGGGTTGGTGATTTATGTAAAATATGCAGTGCATCTATTGAAACACCAGTCTCGGATGTTTCAATACATCAATGTCACGAACAATTTTACTTTATTCACTTACCCAAGACTTATTAAGTTATGATGCGAATCGAAATTGTTTGAAGAATTAAGAATTTTCTTTAAAAATTGGAAATAATCTGAAAAAAACATTGTTTTAAGCCATACAGGTCTATACTATACTTCTTTATACAGAAGTAATATTTAAAATTACAAACTATATTGCATAATCGTTTTTTACATTTTTTTTATTTATAAAAGACATCAACTTTACAAAATTATTTTATATTGACAATAGACTTTAGTACATAACTTTAATAGCAACAAGTGATTAGAGATATAATTTATTCCAACAACTACAAAAATATCAATATATCAAAAATGACAATTTTTGTAGATAAATGGTCAAAGATTTTCGGTTCTGCGGTATTCGAACCTGATTCTTATGAGTAACGCGTCCAGACGGATCACCTACTAAGCTGACAGATCGATGTACTCACTGTGCTCTCTTCATTGAATTATTAGCAATACCTGGCGCCATCTACTGTGTATACGTTACGTCGTGAAACACCGTACAAATAACATTTAAGAACGAAAATTTGCACCGGGAGATGACGCCTTTGCTATTAAAATTAACGATTGATTTTATTTTAGGTGGTAGTCTCTGCATTAGAGTTGAAACCTTAGTTGAGGATATTCTTAAACTTTGGTAATGTAACTATAACTCTAACAAGTATCGTGGAATTCCTCAGGCGTCTGTACAGACTTAATTTCTAGTGAAACAACGTACATTTTTTTACAAAATACTTACATTGTGTCGAAAATCCTGATACCTGCTTTAGTAACATTAATATCATGTAAACATTTTTCAATGGCATATTATATTTTATAAATTGTATATTTAAATTAGTACATAAAAATAATATCAGCGTATTTAAAAAGGAGCGTACGTCTGCGAAATAAACATTAGAATGCCGCCTACTCGCGAACAGGCGAGTTGAAAATGTGCTACACTCCGACACAAATATTACTCAGTTCGTTTTCATTACGTGCAAGTGCCATCGCACGCGGAGTTGGAGACTTAACAACGGGTAATATTCAGCTATTTTACGAGAAGAGGAAAGAGCAATATGCGGCTGTAGTGTCCCTCTCGACGCCACTCGTCTTTTTGTCTCGCAACATCGCTTCGCTTGAATCGGCACCGGCTCTAAGAAACTGAAGCTCCGCTCGCGCTGTGTCGCAGTCGTGTTTTTACGTCATATTTTTAGATACTTTAATTTAATTCTCTTCGAGTGTGCAAAATCTGTTTGCATGTTTATACTGCCTGCATGATTTCGGAATAGGATTTTGTATGGAAAAGGCCTTAAAACACAATAATAGTAGAGTGTGCCTTAGTTAGGTCACTGGTTCAAATTGCCACAGTCTGTTATAACAGCGTGACTCGCGCTTGTCACAAATGAAGGGACGGATCAAGGATTTCAAGTTCCACGATCCTTGCATACCACTTTTGCTTCTTCCACATCTATTCGTATATACGAAAAACATGTGTTTTTTTTTTAGTTTTATGTATTTGACGTTTATTGACAATGTCTTCAAATTAAGAAGCTGAAATGTTGGTGATTGTAGTTTTCCATGCACCTACTGATATAGAGAGACGTTTCGAGTGTGCTTATCTTTTAACCAGTTAATATACAGTAGCATTTATATATTTTTATAATTTCAGTGGCTGGCTCTTACGACTCATATACCAAAGTTTCATCACCCATATATGGAATTTAACGATAATAAGAGTAAAATACATATTAAAACAATACAAAACAATATTTTGTAGAAGTATTTTGATGTTATTTGATGTGGGGGCTTTAAAATAAGGAGAGCATAGCCTTTTAATTTCTAAAATAAGGAGAGTAGCCTTTTAATTTCTAAAGAAATAGATGTTTAACATTTCAAGGGACTCAAAATCTAGATCTGAAGTTATTTATTTTTATTACATTCAAAGCTACCGATTTTTTATTTAACTTTATATAATGCAATAGTAATCATTTCTTCCTTTCAAAATTCTCTAATTTTTTGTCAATTTCATGGTTTAGTAATTTAAATATTATGCTAATTAATTATGTTAGGCGCATATACGCAGTTAAAGTCAACTTTATTTGTTACATATAAATTATAAACTACAGTTTAAATAAATCTAAACCCCAAACAAAAATCATGCTTTATTAACAAGGGCTACATAAATAATAAATAATACGAATTGTATGGATATTTTTACGGCATAAATGGTCTGAGTCATTGTAGGTACATACCTCCGTATTAATATTGTGTGTTATTATTGTGTACTATTAAAATTATTGCTAATTTTCGATTTTGTTAGCTAATACGTAGATATGACAAATAAAAACCTTTTCTGAAAAATTAAGGTATGAGCAATTTTATCACAGCGTTGATAAATAACAGTTTGCTTTTGTCACTAGAAAAACATAAAATACCAGTGGAATGGATTTCTATTAGTTTTGCTTAGAATGCGAATAAAGTATTAAATAACTTATAAAAGATCAAACATGCCCAAATTGAGATGGTTATGATATATAATTTATTTGTGTGTTTTTAGAATTACTCACAGCAAATATTGTTTTTTGTTAAAAAATAAATTCATGTAACGTAAATGGAAGGGTTAATATTAAGTGTATGTTCGCAAAGTTATCAGATACTTAAATAAATCATCCACCTCAAGTGCTACCATAATGAATCTTAGCAACGCAGAGTCATGTAGACTTCTATGCTTCACAATGGAAATATACTTCATACTTCTACTGATAACAACTTTCCTTGCTCCTATAGACGGGATTAAGTTCACGAGGTGTAGATTAGCAACGGCGTTGCAAAGAACTAGATTGATCGAGAAGACTTTCCTCGGCAATTGTAAGTAACACTTGCATGTTTTGGAAACAAAAAAATATCTTTGTAGTTCTTAAATTCCTTTGACCTACTTATTTCGGTTGATACATTTTTTTACTCAAAAAAAAAAAAAAAACAAGGAAACTTCTTATGACTTATTTATATATGTTGAGAAATATCACGGATCTTTTGAAGTTATAGTTCTTTGGGCGAGTTTAGAAAAAAAAAGATATTAAATTTTTTACGATAAATGAGCACAACGACCCAAAAACCGACGTGATAAAGTTTTACAATTAAACATTGCAAAGTAACCAGCTTCATGGTATTACCATGGCAACCAATAAAAAAAATATATAATTACCTATAATTCCAAGTTGGAATCGTTATCAATTGCATTTAATGTCTTTTTCACAGACAAAGAGTACTTGGCACGGGATGTATTAAGTTTTTTTTTTACGCTAAAAAAAGTATAACTTCTAACACGCGTACCTAAGTACCTACACACACATTTTTATGTTAGTAATAAATTAAATAATATACGTTTATGACATGTCCAAAAAATATAGTGCGTGCATATGGTTTGAAATAATTAGCAGTACAAAGTTAGAAGAGGCGCCAAATAACCGGTTACTTATTATGTAATTATATTTAATGTGATATGCGGAAAAAGTAGACACCGACGCGAGTTTGACCTTAAACTTTGTATTGCGTAGTCTATTTACCAGAAACGTCTATCAGACATCATGCGCGACGCTCGCATGCATTTTGTTATACTGCTCTGTTTATTACTTACGAATGTGCGTGCGAAAAGGTTTGAAACGAGATGCAAGCTAGTGCGGGAATTGCTGCGTGTGAATATCTCTAATGACGCTTTCCTCGGACAGTGTGAGTTTTGGGATACAACATAGTAGTGCACGATAATCTTATATAGTTGTTAAGATAAGTGGTAATATTTAATAGACATATTTTTGCCAGCAGTGTGTCTTTTTTTTTCCTTTTGTCGCTCTCTGCGTCACTTGAGCTTGAACAATTGTTTCAAAACAGCTTAGTAGATGACTGCGATTAACAAAACAGCTTAGTAGATGAGACTCGTAATTTAAATCCCTTGGATTAAGAAAATAGCATATTTTATGGATTTCTTTCATACAACATCACTCATATCTGTTGGCAGTTTGAACCACAGATTTACCATGGTTCGTATTTAATATGTAAGATACACGAATTAAAATTATATTATTTATGCATTTACTTCTATTACTCGTATTTTGAAAAATTATGTTCTTCATCGAAAGCAGCAATAAATTCGATGTTTTATTAGGAATAAACTGAGACAACTATTAGTGCGCCAAATATCTATTGTTCTTAATTCTGACAAGGTGTGTCAGAATTAAGAAGAATTGGCATTAAGTGCAGAACGTCTTTTCAAAATTATCCTTTTTTATGATATCAAAAATTTTTTATGAGCTTGATTTTACCATCGATTACAGTAAGCTATCAATGGACAGAACGCGTGAAAGAATTTTTAATGAAAGAAGATAAATGTTTTATACTTTGACGACCCGAATGGCGTAGTGGGTAGTGTACCTGACTCCTGCGCCAGAGGGCGTGGGTTCGATCACCATTACATCACTACTGGAAAAATATTATGTGCTGAACATAGTGTTTTTCTAGTGTCTGGGTGTTTATATATGTATAGTATGTATTTATTTACAAAAGAAAAGTATGCTTAAGTATGTTTATCAGTTATCTAGTACCCATAGTACAAGCGTTGCTTAGTTTGAGACTAGAGAACGATGTGTAAATAATGTGTCCTAAAATATTTATATTTATATTTATTTATATACTACATCATTAGTAAACAACCGGTCACGTGCGAGTCGAACTCGTACGCCAAGGGTTTCGTACATTATACCACCATAATAAAATTGGTAAATAATCACCACCGATTTTCTCTGCGTACCTAACAAGTTGAAATTTATACCTGATAGGTCTACAGTCCTTATAAGGTGTATGAAAAACAAGGTCCTGTTTTCGGAATTTTTCCTTAATTTGTACTGGTCTTACAGTACAAGTGAAGTGATAATTCCGAAAAGTAAAAAAAAGTTGAAAATTAAGGTAAATTTTGGTACTTTCAATTCTTCGGGAAAATCTTAATTTTTCCATAACTTTTAATCGTGTTACAACCAATGGGGCCTATAGACCGTATCTAGTATAAATTTCAACTTGCCAGCTACACCCGTTCAAGAGTGATCCTATAACGAATACTTTTTTACCTTTTAAGGTAAAAAACGGATCCCTAAAAATATGTAGACTTCACTTTACGATTGCGTTTGTCGATAATTTTGAAAACAGGTAAAGTATAAAGGTTAATCAATGAAGCTCTCAGCGTTATTATTTATGATTTTAAATTAGTTTTAAAATCCTATGATTCTGATAAAACAAACTTGCTTTCAAAGCCACTTGACCTGCGGCGTTTGTCAATTTTACAAATAACAATGGACTTCCAAGTAAATCTATTCGTATTTGTGCAAAGTTATTATTATCAGGCATTGTTCTAATGCGGCTCCGATTTACCCTCACCACATTTACCTACGTCGCATTTGCATTTCGGAATTACCTACTTGGAATAATTGTATTTACAGCAAACGATAAATTATAGTAGCTTCGAGTACTGACTACTAACGAAATAACACAATACTTACAATATGTGTTATTCTTACATTGTATTTCGTGCAGGCGGTTTATTTGGCGTAATTTATTCATAATATACGATAAATATTTCAAGATTATATAATGATTATTTATAAATCATTATGTAACTTATTTTCAATAGCAATAAAAATATATGTTTTATTTTTATGAATCTTACATAAGAAGAAGATCGTGTCCTCCTTCTTTCTAATAATGCATACCAACTAATATTAACTCATAATGCGTCTAGGGTGCGTACATCAACGTATTAATATGATTCGTTTACAAAAAACTATATTTATTTCCATATAGGTAGCACAAGCTCAAGAATTAATATCGAGGAGTATTCACAAATTATTGTTTATTGATGGTTTATTAATGTTAATACTAAAAACCAACCTCCTTGAATGGAAAAAAATACATTCAAGCGGTTTATTATATTGAAAGAATAATAATAATTGTAAAAAATTTCCAAGACCATAGAAACTTTCTACGATCGTGGGACACCCCTACCACGTCTCCGGGTATGGATTTTTGTCATATTATAGGGCGTATTATTCGTTAAAAAATGGAAATTAATATGCGAGTCTATTTAAATAATTTTGTAAACCATTCAATAACTGTAAAGCATTATTATGCCTAAACTACAAACATAACCGCCAGAAGTACTTTAAAACTCTACGTTTAGACTAGCTAAAATGCTAGCAATTTTGAAGTTGTGTACAGCTATTTTATTACGAAATAAATGGCCTTCATCCATGTTCTGGTTTTTGTAATTTGGGCTGCAAATAAAGGTTTCCTTTCGCAGCGTACAGTGTGAAGCAATTGAAACATTGCTTGATGTAGGAAGTTTAACGTTATGTATGAGTTGTAGGGCACAATATCATATATTTTTTTTAATAATTAACCAACCAGAACTTTCTACCAAGGGATGACATGTAAAATATTGTTTTATTTCTAATTTAAATGGACTAGCCGTTCTTGTGGCGTAGGCAGTGAGTTTGGAATAAGGGATCGGGTCTATAATCAGCTGCAAATTCTTAGTGAAATAATGACTTTAACATTATCCCGGTGCTGGAAATACATCTCAAGATTTTTCTAGAATAAAAGTGTTGATTTTATTGTAATTTTGAATTTCGTTTGTTTATAGGGGTTTGCCTTATAGAGAAAGTTAGCAACAGAGACACTAAAGCCTATACAGTTACTCCAAGTGGAAAGAAAAGCTATGGATTATACCAGGTAAACGTGCTTTAGGAAATTTCAAAAAGATATGATATTAAACTGTATTGAAACTTTGTTTTTTGTTTGTAAATTAAAAACAATATTAGTTATATAACATTCATATATTCTTATTTTGATCATGAATGATCATTTCAGATTCCCAGTCGATGGTGCAGGGAGGGTAAAAAGGGAGGGGAATGTAATATTCCTTGTGAAGGTAAGTGCTCGTGTAGTTAATCAAAACATTAAAGTTTTCAATCAAATATAGGTTTCGATCCTTTTTTCGTCCTCAAAGGACTCGTCAATGCAGACAGTCAATATATTTAATTATTAATTTACAAAAGGTTTGACGATGCTTATGCTTTAATTAATTTTTATTTATAAATTTGCAGCGCTTCTAGACGACGATATTCGGGATGATACGGTCTGTGCCATAAACATATTTAATCGAGAGGGTTTTAAATATTGGAACCAGTGGACAGTAAGATGCAAGAATGACAAGCTTATAACAAACGAAATTTATAAGTGAGTCATCTCTAAACTTCGATATTTTCAACATGACTGTAAAAGGGTCATAAGCAAAAATATATTTGATACAAAAAGATAAAAATACAAATGCTTAAAATAACAGATTAAATATTTAAAATAGATTGTAAATAAACGACATCAATAGATAGAGTGATTCAAGAGGAAGGTTTATATGTATGCACATTATGCATTGCACACGTGCGAAGTCGGGGCGGATCGCTAGTATTGGATAAATGGTAAAACACTGATGTTCGTATTAACTTATTGCAGCTAATAGGTAAATTAACAGGCGTTAAATGTTATAAATGTAGCGGTATTTTATCGTGAAATCGCGTTATGAGATACGTATATACTATGATAACCTTAAAATTTTTGTAAGTTGCGGCAATTGATTATTTAAAATAAAAAAATTAAAAAAACATGACAAGAACAAATGCTATAGTCATGGCTGGCTCCATTTTACATTTTTACCCTGACCCTTAGGCATATTTTTCACCATTTGGATTTAGAAGTATTTAACATTTAAGTAACACTAAGCGATTGTTTTGATGTCAAATGATCTCTCTTTCAGATGTCCGGACTTGATGGGACAACGGACGAGAATAAAACGAGACGCACAGAGGAGATCGAAACTTCACTTAGCGATAAACGACCTTCATCGTTCATATTTATATAGTTATTATTTTAACAATATAACCAATGAATTAAATCATCTAGATCGTTAATTTTGTTTCAATATAGTGATAATTTTTCTAATTATACGAACATTGTTGAACCTGTTCTAAATATTACTTAACAGATGTTATTATTATGTCACACAAGTATTACACATGAACATGGTAGGGCCACGCAACAGTGTTCGATGTTGCACGAATGGGCAGGGCCGTCTGGGTTAGTACCACGACCTCACAGAAAATCGGCGTAATTAGAAAGGTTACACTTCTGCGTTTCGTCTGGTGAGTGAGGCAGCATTCGCAACCCTATTGTGTTGCAAATGTTCATAGGCGGTGGTTACCACTTAATATCAGGTGAACCGCCAGCTCGTTTGCCACTTTCTCACGTAAAAAAAGCGTTAAAAGATTTCTCGGTGGTATCAGGGAATAATCCGGAATGGGACACTACTTCAAATTGGCGAATTTCCGATACATTTAGGTAACAGCTGATTATAATTATGCCACCCTCTGCTTGGTAAAGACCTTTTTTATATGCGTATTGGGAAAATTAATCGGCACGTGACCGCAGTGTGCGGTTTTTTCACGTACATGTATGTATCTGAAACTTCTTCTCATTACTTCGAAGGTAAAGTTTCCGAATCACGATTTCGTTCACCACTGAAAACGCATTACAAATGTGTAATTAACAATAGATAACAACAGGCACCAGGATTTGAGGAAAGTTTTCTCGAGCAGATAAATAAATTTTAAGCAAGCTCTAACACTAAGCTGTCAGAGAAATATACAAATTGTAAATTAAAGTTTTGTTTTGATAAAAAATATGTTTAGGGCCCTGCAAATAATCGTTGCCAAAAATTTGCCAATTATAATGATGATAATTATAAATAAAATAAAATTATTGCGATAAGAGAGCTAAGGTGAAATATTGCTAACACACGGTGGTCGCTACGTTATGATAAATTAGGACGTACGTGAAACACGCCGGTAAATTAGGACGAGATTATTTCATCGATATCACCAGTGAAACTTTAATGATCTTATACTGATCTTTGCTGCTACTTTTAATCATCAGTTTACTTTTTCTACTCATCTGTTTGCGCCCTGTCCAATAGGGATGATTTATGCTAATGCAAACTATAACTTGAAACATTGTGTGAAAAAAAAAAAAAAACTAAAAACTGCATAAAACAATATTTAAGTGGGGCTCCCATACAACAGACATGATTTTTTTGCCGTTTTTGTAGAAAATGGTACGGAACCCTTTGTGCGCGAGTCCGATTTACAATTGTCCGAATTTATTAGTCTCACCTACACATGTTCACACTAATTTGTTTCAGTGTTGTTATTTTACTAATTTACTATTTTTATTTAATGACCTATAACGAACGAAGTGAACGAGCAAAGCATCATTCATCATTTCATCAAAAAAAAATTGATGACATTGTTTGGTTTTATAATAAGCAGATCCCGGTCTGATATATTTTTACCAGGCCTGGAATGAAAAATCACGACAGGCTTCAAATCAGAGGTTATGAAATAAGCTAAAGCACGATTGGGCAGGTCATGTCCTGAGGCTGTGTGCGGTTAAATGTAATATGTTGACTTTGAAACCTTCTTGATGGAATGGCCCAAGAAAACATTTCATAGCGAGGAGTGTAGGAGTAAGAAGAACTCTTGACCCAAAAATGGGAAATGATTGCTTGGTTATACTAATACATAAGGTCCGTAACTGATAGGCAATGCGAAATTAGGCATTGAGTTGTGACTTAAGGTGTAGCAACAAAGTTTAGAGTTTTAAAGTTAATAAACTTTCTGCAATATGTAAATGATGAATGTATATAAAATGATGACCTGTCAAAAAATCTTGTTTACCGTTGAACAATGTTCAATTCGTACACTCTTCGTCTACATATTAAGCTTGATGATGAATTCGCATCAAATTAAATAGGAAATATGGTATGGGGTACGGGGAACATTTTAAGCTTTAATCCAATTAGTTTATAGTTTTAGTTTACTTAAGTGAGATTTTATAATAAAATATTTGTTATGATTTATTTCATTACAAGAATGTAAGACTAGCAGTAAAATAACAATGTTAACAGAGAAAACTATTTATTTTTGTTCTCTACAAACTGTTAGCTAATACGGTTACACACTTGCTAAGTGACACATAAATATTGGAAACAAATAAACTGCACAGCTCCTAAAATCTTTGCGGTTTGCTGCACATTGTAGATTTACTTTTCTTACATAAAATAACAGACAATTTATGATGCAATAAAAGTAGCAATAGTGTTGTGTTTTTTTAGTTTAAATTAATATTGTACTTGAAAAAAATCGTTTGTATGTATTGTAACTCGCACCCCCCCCCCCCCTTTTTCTTGCGTATATATAATTATAACTTATATATTTTTTTCCCCCATTACATCATTACGTGACCAGGATAATTTATTGATCTTTCTATAGGATCTTTCTAAAGGTAATAATTAGCCGTATAAAATATTATTGTGATCGTCATATTCGGTAGGACCTCATTTACGTTGTGTTTATTTAGTAACTTGATTCTTTTAGGTGTATCTTGGATAGATAATTATTTACTAGTCGTGGTATAAGCCAGAGATAATGCTAGATTGCTTTCTTATTAACTAATCCCGACTCGCTTGAGACGGGCTCAGAGTATATAGTATACTCCCTCTCACGCTTGTATAGGGCTCACAATATAATTTTAAAATAATATCCCTTCTCTCTTGAAAAGGGCTCACATCAATTTCACATACCCGATACAAGTCAACAGCTCCCCCACATTTTAAAAAAAATGTAGGGAAGGCACACGGCTCCATGAAAACACTCACCAACGCCGTGTGCGGTGAGCGCCAACCAACATATTGCGCCCCCCCCCCCCCCCAGAAGAGGGACAAAAAGTTGGGGAAAGGACCGAAGTCCATTGCAAAGCTGTTTTACCAGCATAAAGAGGGCTTGGCCCCTTGGCAGTGCGTAAGCACAAACTTTGACCGAAGTCGCGCATGTCAATGCGTGTAAACGTCATACAAGCCGACGACAAATCCAGTCTTCGTGAATGTACTTCAATACGGTTTTGGGCATGTGTTAAAGATCAGGCACTCTGGCCCTATGATATAATTAGCCCTCCGTAAGCGCCACCACTTTTGCCAGATCGCCGCGACTGCAGACGTGATTGTTAGTGTTTTGGCATCACCACCATTAAAAAGGTTAGCACGACATTTCGTCGCAGAGCGCGTAGCCCCAAGGGTATGGTTAAAACGTTGCACGGCATCGCCGCAGCCTTGAGAGGTTTTCTCCCGCCAGCTACCATCCACATGAGGTAAACGCATATGCTCCACCAACCATTGAAATAGTCAGATATAGCCATAGTTGTGATTTTATGTTTAGCCATCAGAAGGGTTTATAATTGGCAACATATATTTATTTGTCAGTGTCTCTGACGTTGAGTATAGTGTATTTTCGATCAAGTTTGTCTCACCCACCAGCAAGTTGCCATTATTCGTTCGAACGGTGGGAACTTTACTGAGATTCGTTAATAATGATAAAACGTATAAAAAGGTCAGACAGTCTGCAGTTCCGTCATCAGGAACCCGACTTGGACAAATCTACTGAGATGTGCATCAAACCGAGACGCAGACTCGGCCATTATGAATAGCGTCGTCTCCCAAGCAAATGTCGCAAAACGCAATGTCACCAAATGCAACATGCATCAATACAACTATCGCAGGTCAACACGCCAACATACAGCCTATCCGCATACACAGCAGACATCATCACCTCGAACCTCCGTCAACCAGAATCATACGACGCAATGATATTAGGCGCAGATCACCCCGCAAATACCACAAGACGCAGTACTGCATATAGCCGCATGCATCAATGTGACTATCGCGTAGGTGGCACACCCTCACACCACACCAATACAACTCCAATCAACTTCAGCTCCAAAGTTTAGAATATACTCGGAACACACGAAGTGTCCAAACATACTCTTTCACGATCCGAATGATAGTCGACGTATCATAGCGTAAACACTAAGACGCCAACCACCAACGGACCCCCACCCAAGCCAAGTAATAGCCAACGCTATCATAGTGCAACACACTAAGACGCCAACTACCACCAAACCCTTACTATGCCGAATGACAGCTAACGTATCATAGTGATGGTCACTAAGACGCCAACTACCACCAGCTATCGATGATATGTCCACCACTGAAGACATATCCATTCATGGTTCCACGTTTACCGTAGACCATATCGTCGTACAGAAGTACCACGCAACTCCATAGTAATATGTCTTATAAAGTCCCAAGTCATTCATTGCTCTTCATTATATTTATATATTTATTATTTTTTTTCTCTGAGCCTTCACATATTACTACTTTTATCCATTAGACCTTACTTCCATATGATATTGGTATGGGACGTTCATACAATGTACTTTGACTATAGTACTAAGAGTCGCGATCGACCTCTGTACTTACATATGTGCGGTCATACAAATGTGTCCCCGCACGGTACATAATACTTCCCTTAGAAATCACTAAGTATGGAATTGTATTTAATGGACATAATAGTGATCGTATCTTGCTATATTTTTAATAAATATCCTTTTTTGAGTATTTTAAGTGATTTTTTAACTATTTTTTATCAATTTTTGGTAATATCATTTTCTCATACTAACACTTACATTTCTTTAATTTAAGTATATATTTTTTAAGTATATAACTTTTATTGTGATTAAACGTTCTTAAACGTTTTATTTTCATCTTAATTGATCTTTATTATGACTAATTAATAATAATATTTATTATTATTAATAGGTCGTTACAATCCACCCCCAAATTTTACATTTATGACTTACAAAGTAATGTCATTAATGGAAAATTTTTCCATTTTATAATTATATTTGCTTTCTGTTTAATAATAATAAATATAAGGGAATGGCCGCCCCAACTCCCCTTCAATCACACTTATACTGTGATATAGGTTACCATTTTCATTTTGGTTCTTTGTTAAAATTG